ACGAGGCAGTGGGACAGGAGGGAGACGGTGAGGCCGAGGCCCAGCAGCCCGCCCCGCAGCAGGCGGTAGCTGCCCCCAGCGCCGTCCCAGTCCCCGGGGGGCTCCGCGGAGCCGGCGGGCAGGAGCCCGAGCACCGCCTCCTGCGGCATCCAGAGGGCGCAGACACTGAGGTCCGCGGCGCAGCCGTTCACGATGAAGGCGTTGCTGGTGGTCTGCAGCTTTCGGAAGGACGACACGAGATAGATGACCATGCCGTTGGCCAGCGTGCCCCCGATGGCCAGGCCCGAGTACAGGAGGGACACGGGAATGCGCCGGCCCGCCCACGACTCCTCTTCCTCACAGAGCAGCAGCAGCGACCCCCCAGTGGTGGAGGAGGCGGACGTGGAGGAGGAGTTGGTCATTCTGGCCAACTCTTCACACCTTGCTGGCTAGCGTTGGCTTCTCGCAGCGCGGCCCATCCTGACACCCGCCTGCCGGGAGGGCAAAGACATCCTTTCAGCCTTCTGCCACCGACACAAAAGGCTGAAGCAGAATAATGGGCTGGGGGAGGGGGAGAGAGGGATCTCGAGGAGATCGGGGGTGGCAGATGACAGGTGCCTGCCTCGGGAATGTCTCCAAGAGAGGCCTCTTTGCATTCAGCAGGCACCAGGGGAGCCCTAAACAGCAATACCAAGAAATACCAAGAACAGCCTCCTCTTCTTCCACACACACACACACACACACACACACACACACACACACGGGAATAATGCCAGATGGAGCCCCTAGTTACCAGGAGAAAGCAGAGCTATCCCAGCTGGGGAAGATGCCAGGGGAAAGGGGCTGAGGGTACCTTATTTTGGGGCTGGTCCTCAGCTGGTGGTAGCAGAGGGAGGAATGCCAGGAAATACCTCCTCCGCAGCAGCATCTGTGGTCCCGAAATCAACAGGAGAAACTCAGCTGGGATCAGTGCCAAGAGCAAGTGCCCACTTCTCCCAAGCAGCATCCACACACGTGGTCCTATGCAGAAACCAGCAGCTGCCCGGAGACTTCTCAGCTGGCAGCAGGGCTGGGGAAAGTGGCAGGCTGCAAGCCCAGACGGGTAGGCAGGCAGGCAGGCAGCCGTAGCAGCAGCGGCAAGGATGCTTTGCTGCAAAGCAGAAGCTGAGCTCAAAAAGAGAGCACCCACCCTGTACTCAGAAGCAAGAGGGGTGGCTTATGTGGTGAACCCACTCTGAGCTCTCTCCTGTTCAGTTATTCATCACCCAGGAAAAAGGCAGCCTTTCCACTGTCGGCATGAATTATTCAATAGCTTCTAACTTGTGAAAGGGAAGAAAAATATCTTGCTCAGGAAGTCCTGTAATTAACAAGTTGCTCTGTCTTGTCTTTTCTTTCTCCCAATCACCTAATTTTCACCCTCCTTCGTATTCTTTCTTTTTCTCCTCCCCCCAATCAATGCTAGAATAAAATTTAATATACCCCCAATGTCTTTCATCACAGCCTTATTCATTCTGGGGTCAAAATTTTTCAGAGGGACAAATATACTCCCAATACCCAGGACTGACTTCTTCCATCCCACATTTTCAGAGAGAATCACTTTATATTCTAATTAAAAATCATTTTTTCTTTTGTAACATGGGATATGGATAATTATCCACAGAAAATCCCCAAGTCTCAATTTAAATAATTTCAGTTTTTTTCCATCACCAAACTCCTTTCCAGAGTTTGGTCATATTTTAATAATGAAATGGTAAGAGGGTAAAAATGAACCAGTCAGAAGATTAAAAGTGGGTGTAGGGGGAAGCAAGGAACCTGAGTAGCCCTTAGCGTAAACAACAATGACGGCTCTTCACTTCAGAACTTTTTATCTGGTGGTTCATCTTAGAGATTTGCAGTCCGATGTCAGACTCTTTGGCACAAGCACTCATTGAACCATATCATGTGGGAAATTTTGCATAAAAGTTATACCCCTCCCCCAATAAATCATTTTTCTCTGGGAAAAATCATGTATTTGAAAATATAACTCAACATAATATATGGTAACATGGCATCAATGAAATAATGCTGGGTGGGGTTTCAGGAAACCGGGATTCTAAGCTAGGCATCCACCAACTGGCCTTGTGATGGATCATTTTCATCTTGTCAAATAAGAACTTTCTACTCAAGAGCCTGACCAGTAGCACTAGCATCACTTGGAAACTTGTTAGGAATGATACAGACTCACCGAGTCAGAATTTACAGCTATGAGTTTTAACAGAACCTCCAGATGATGCTGATGCGTGCTAAGTTTGAGAACCTCTGCCCTAGGATGTTATCTTTGTCTCAGCCCACAGAGATGAACAAAAAAGAAGGGCGTGGGGGCAGCTGGCTTCCATTTTAAGGATGTGACCTGAAATTTTCACATGTCACTCCTGTACACACACCGAGGGCCAAAACTTTAGTCACATAGCTGGTCCTTGCTGCAAGAGAAGCTGGGACAAATCTAGCTCACACGCCTTGCTAAAACGCAAGAAGGGCAAGAAAAAGGAGAGAATGGACACCAGGCAATGGGAGTCCAGGGGAGAGACAGTTGCCGGGTTTATGCAGGTTTAAACCTGCAAGTTTAAAGCAAAGCTCTCGTTATCATTTGGGCCCTAATAAGCACAGTGCCTATAGCAAACTAGCTTTTCAAGACCCTTTGAAAATGTTTGATATCTGAAGCAAAGAATTCCTGGCTCTGAAATACAAAAAGAAAACTTTAAAAATAGAAATTGATATGCTATTAAATTGTCAACTGCTATTCAATTAATTATAAATTAAGAGAGGATCAGAGTACCTTTTAATATGTCTGGTATGATGTGTGATGGGGCCTCTAAAAGTGTCGAGATCTGCAGAAGCCTTAGAACAGTCCACGTGACCTCTTTCATCCTCACTCCTCCGACTCCATTCCAGCCGCACCGTGGACTTGCTATCCTTGCATGTGCCCATCTCTTCTCGCCCTCCTATCCAGACACCTCCATTTGTTCAGTGGATGCTGTTCCCTTGGCTGTCCCTCCACAATCTGTTCCAACTTTTGCCCAGCTAAGTTCTACTCATTTTCCAGGTCTGGACTCAGACTCACCTCCTGCATGGAGTCCTTCTAGATCCCCATGATGACTTGCCCTGCCCGTGTGCCCCCAGAACACCTGAACACATCCCTGCCACAGCCAAGCTTCCAGGTGTGGTTTTTCCTTCTCCACGTGGTAAGCTAGTGGAGGGCAAGGCTCTCCTTTTCAGAGTGTCTGACACATTGTAAACACTTGAACATTTGTTGCCTGATTGTCTCTTAGGAATCTTTGATAGGTGGGATGGAGATTTCACTCTCAATGGTCTTCTCAAGAGATACAACCCCCATCAGAGTCATACAGCAAGGATTGTTTTAACTGATTTTTCTAAAATGCTTTAAAAAGCTTCATATAACCACATCCTCATACTTTATGCCACCAAATTATTTTTACAGTCTTTTTTATTTCATAAATTGTCATTTTTATTTATGTTGGAATGTCCAGGATATGGTTCCATAGTGTAGCAGTTAGCATGTCTGCTTTACACGCAGAAGGTCCTGGGTTCGCGCCCCAGTGAAGTCACAGGCCATGGTCTATGGCCATGCCACCCTGAACAAACCCACTGTCTAATCTCAGAAGCTAAGCAGGCAGGCCTGGTTAGTACTTGGATGGGAGACCACCTAGGACAACCAGGTGCTGTAGACATAAATAATAAATTTTAAAAAAAAAAATGTCCAAACAGTATCTTCTTGGCTATCAGGAATTTCAACAACTGTAAATCTTGATACAGAACTTCCTGAACACGTGTTACAGTGGGCTCTTCACACGCTATAAATAGAGCTTTTGTTAACAACCCCACCACCACCCCATACAACCCCATACCCATCCTGGCAGGATACAATGTGGACTTTCCTGGTACTCGATTTCATAGTCCACCAAAACACACTAGAGCAACTGTCTCCCACACTTTGGGAAACCAAAGGGTAAGTGGCAGCAGCGACCAGTTGCTGTTTCCTGTTTGCCTGACCCGTCTGCTGGCGGCCAGGCCGCAGTGTCCCCAAGCACGCCCCTGAGACTGCCTACAGTTCCATTCCAACTCCCAGCTCTGTTTTCCAGATCTTGGTCTCTTGAGGTAACACAACTGAGAATCTTGTCAGCGTGGGACTATTTGAACTGTAGAAGTTGTTTTTCAAATGAACGGCAGCTTTGTGTTGTTTCATGGCCAAACTTGAGTAATTCAACTGCATGTAAGCATTTACATTCCAAGAAAGCTTACCCGTAGAGCTTTTAGAAATAATGAATTTAGAGAAGGAGGAAGCTGGAAACGACCTATAGTTTGTTCCATCTTGAAGGACATGAGTTCTTGTAATAATGGCTCCCAGCTTTCTCCTGCCCCATCAGACTTGAGAGAGGCCTGGCCCTGGATGCCGGCTCACTACATAATGCTGTCAGGAAATGTGCCCTGAGCTTTTCTCAACTGGGGGCTGTTTTGCCCCCAGGGTACATTTGGCAATGTCTGGAGGCATTTCGGGTTGTCACAACTTGGGTGGAAGAGTAATATTGGCATATATCTCACGGGTAGAGGCCAAGGATGCTGCTAAACATCTTGCAATGCACAGGACAGAACCTAACAACAAAGAATTATCCAGCCCAAAATGTCTGCAGTGCCCAGACTGAAAAACCCTGCCAAAGAGGCTAAGAGCTCAAGGTCAAATCCAGGGCCTGTTTGTTGTTACCATGTGACCTCAGGCAAGTTATTTCCCCTTTACACACTTCAGTTCTCTCATTTATAAAATGAAGATAATGTCATTTTCCTCTGAGGAGTCTTATAATGATTGAATTTATGCGAACGGTTTCACGGAGTGGCTACCATGTAAGAAGTGCGCCATGTGTATTAGTGACGTGATTCCCAACATGGGGTGAGGAATGAGAGCACTAAAGGGACATGTTCTCATTGGAACAAATCTGAATTGTGGCTGGTGGGGCTCGTGAAACTCATAAAGATAAACCCAACTCTCCAGTTCTGACACTCACTGCCACAGGAGTCCCTGTGAGCATTTTAAGGGAACTATGACTCTCTCTAAATTTGTGTACAAAAATGTATGTATGTATTTGTGCATTTTTTCCGGCGAAAAGATTAAAGAATTTTATTATCTTCTCAAGGAGTCTACTACCTCAGAAAGGTTAAGAACCAATTATATCATCCAATCGCTTCATTTTATAGAAAATTGAAACCCAAAGACAGCGAATGACATACCCAAAGCCATAGCCATCATGACAAACCTATGCCTTGATCCAGGTTGTCCCGTGGCACTAATACAGGTGGCCCCACTGAAGTTCACTCCATCACAAAATAACAAATAAAACAAACACAATTCCTCGTTCTAGTTCTATTAATTTATAAATCCCTACGTTTGTTTTTTCAGAGTCAATTGAACTCTGCTCTTCAAATCTCCTA